TGCCTCCATATTTAATAAATGCTCAGTCCATGATTTCTACTTTTACCTGTATAACACGAAGAATACCTCACTGGGATGTGGTACCGTGATACACTAGAGTCCCTCAGTTTACAGCCAAATCACACTTAATGAAATCAGTATTGCCGCTTTCAGTTAAAAAATTAATTCGACTGTGTCATAGATGCTTTTGGCTGGATTCCTCAATACCAAGTATTGTTCCCTATGAGAGTGCATTGAAGAAACCCTGCAGGGAGATATTGCAACTTCGCCGAGAATCGAATAGAAGTATTTCACCTATACAAGATGTATACGGTAATGAATTAACTCACTGCGCTCAGCCACACATTACCCTATAAAACTCTCTTGTTTGGAAATGAAAAATGTCCAAATATATTGTGTCAGTGACTGCAAACACACATTAACATCTAAATTTCATACGACTTCTGTCTCATTACTGCATATAATAATAGTTTGATAGTTATTTAAGTATGCAGTGAAAAGTATCTCATGGACCACGTGTAGCATTTGGTATTCAGCTGAGGTATGAGCACTCAGTGAAAGTATTTTAGAGAACTAATACGACGAGATTAGCTTTTTTATAATATATACGCACCTACCAACGGAATGAAAAGATAACGACGAATTGTTATCACAAGCATTGTATTTACTATGGAGGGAATGTTATTACAAGCAAACTTCACAGTAACATGTACAAGTCTTGCATGTCATTGCATCAGTAATGTGAGCATACTAATTGCACTACGGCCCGAAGTGAATAATCTCAAGGCTTCGTACCAACAACTGTGTGGGAGGTAGATGTATTGATAGACTGCTTGCAGATACCATGTAGGACGACATCTAGTAGAATGTCTACGAAGACTGACAACCTGCAATGAGGAAGACAAAAACGAAACAATTAGGAGACACACAATGCATAAGATAAGTATTCTTGATATAAGCATAAAACTTGGGCACTGTGGTAGAGTATAACTCCATTATGGATAAGATTTTATTTCCATAAACCACATAGTGTTGTACAGTAATATTACCTGACGACGTTTCGAGCACAAATTATTGCTCATAATCATATCAACTCAGTCACAACTTTTGCTGCATTCATATGCATTGGTATTTTACTTAGGCGTACTACAGGCATGAAAAATCACCCATCTCATTCACTTCTATTCACACTATTTCTTATGTCCATGTTACTGACTTTTGGTAAATGTTTTCTTCTTCGGTGAACTTTAGCATTCCATTGTACCTGGACTAAAGGTCATTCTGACAGACTGACTTTCAACATAGAAGCTTGCACACAAGTGCACCCGTTTAGGTTATCACATTCCATGCAGCACACAAAGGTAGAGAAAAACGAAATTAAATGGAACTCTAATGAGCATAAATGTGATGGGAAACGAACAGTGATATGGAAACAACATAAGGGTTCTCAGAGTGTTGCACAGAGTAAATGCATCTGTGTCATTAACAATGTTTGTAGTCACATTTCTGCTTAACACTAAGCCTGACACCAATATTACGCACCATCTTAGACTACCTAACACAGAAGAGAGGGCACAGACACTACTATCAAAAACTAGTAGTCTTTTCATATCTTCCAGTTTCAATGGCCAATTCTCACAGCCTAAGTGGACAATATCATCAGCATACACTAATTTGACAAGACTGTGTCCTAGTAGGTCCCTAAAGTGAGTGACAGACAATTCTGTTGATACATGTATGATGAAAGTGAACTAAAATAAGGACGGCAGTTGTAGAAATGAGCCTTGCATCATATCCTTCTTGAAAATATCAGTTCCTTCATAGTTTAGTTTAGTATGCGTTATCACAATGATAACTGGTGTTGCGCGATGTGAACACACGAATCTGAGCTGTGTCATCTTGTTTCTGATGCCTTTGAAGTTGTTACAAACACACTCAGTGGTTACGGCCAACATACAGGTGTTCTGTTCCGTGACGTGTGATGACTGTTTTAGTTCATGACATCACCGTTCTGGATGGCCACCTCTCTTGCAACCGCCTTCACTCTCGTCTTGTAAGTAAGTGGTTGTCATCAGGTTCAACTTTCTGTTGATCTGCAATCACATAGGATTGATCTTTGAAAATCACTCTCCTCCGTTGTTGTCGTAGAACTATGGATTACTGGCACGGCATGATATTGCTTTTAACTGCGTTTAGTACTCTTATAATTTTGCATTTGAAATCAGTGTATCCGGAGATTCCTACTACAAATCGTTGTGAATGGAATGCCGCCTACTAATATTTCTGTATGCGCGTAAGGAGAAGACTATACAAAATTCAAAATGTTTCCTTATAACATATATGATGAGATATTCGAAAGTAACCTAATCATCCTACTTATATATTCATATATTCTGAAACATGCCAGTCAAGATTTCAAAACATGGACTTTTCGCATTTGAGTCCATTTACGGGCTTCCTCTATCAGAATACCATGTGCGAATTGAATTTTTCTACAGCCACACTACCTACTAACTCTTTGGCTTGGCCCACCTAACCTCGTGGCCAGGTTCTTGACGCCACTCCGATTTGTAGGACAGCAACATGCTTTTTATTGACAGCTCGAGGATTAAACATGAGCTTAGTTCCTGAATGTTTAAAAAATGTTAAAAAAACTAAAATATATATAACCACTGTATAGATTTAACTTATAAAAAATACTGCTTTTGCCCCTAACATCTACAAGTCTGCTCAGTTTCTTCTCGAGATGCTACCCCATGGGCCATACACAAGTTCGCCAGACATCCTACAGATCACCATATCCAACAGGTTCTAATCCTCCAAACCACTTCTCTCTGAAATGTCGTTTATATACTCCACGACAATCCTTCTATCTAATCACTATCATACTCTATTTTATCTCAACTCCCTAAGCCTTTAATAAAGCTGAAATTTACTCTTTTCATTCACACTCCTCTCTCACTAAAGTTCGGTCGCTCTGATGATGAAAAAGGCATAACAACAACACCCATGTTTGAGAGTAACTATATTTTCATAGAAAACGTCATAGTTTTTCATGGTAAGACCAATATGGTTAGCATCATACATTGCAAATGTGCACTATCATATCAAGTACTGTATAGCCTCTTCTTGTATTTTTGTTGTAAATATACTTCCAATAATGTTCTATTCATGATTGCATTTTATACCACTTTGTAGCTGTGCAGGATTTTCTCCTCTTCCTGAAATAGCGTTCAAACACGTGGGGTCATAGCACTCATTCAAATATGTTGTTCATCGATGGGCCATAACTATCATCAGGAAATGGAACGAAGTTTGGGTTGTCGCTCACTTTCGATGGAGACCTTCGTGAAAGATTTACAAATTAACAATTATAAGAATCCTTTCCGGTGCTTGTACTTCAACATTTTGAAATATTGAAAAAGTGATAATGTATGCTAATTCACAATTGTAATTGGCAACATAATTGATCGTGCCTGTAAAAATGGCATTCATTTCATGTAAACTTACCCGTTTACACGAAATATATTTTATTATTATTATTAGAGAAGGGAGAATATAACTCGCACGTACGCTCAAAGGTGTATTTATTAGCGATGACAGGAGTAGACCATAGCCATACGCAATCACACCACAACGCAGCCGCTGAGTTCTTGTCTCTTGAGAATTACACTGACCAGATTGTGCTTCGGTCCACATGGATAAACAAATTGGCCATTGGCGGTGAAAGGTCTGAGGCTTAACTGACCTCAAGAACTTCTCTGTTCTCCTATCGTATGGAGCCATCTTTACTTATTCAAGATCACTCATTGGTGTTGAGGTAATCGTTCCTTGTTTTCGTGGGTAGTTGCATGATCCATTAGAATGCTTGACTGTCATTGCTTCGGTAGACATCTAGCCGAATAGTCGTACGCGACAAGATCTTGTGTGGGCCGTCAGACGTCGTGTGATGGAGCAATGGAAATGTCGCAATCGGAGTTAGACTTCTCAACAGTCATTTGTTAATCTTGTCGAAGAGTGAGATAATACTGACAGTAACCATAACCGTAATAGTAACAATAAGGATATATCGTTCATGGCAAATGTACACTTAAAGAGACAAACAGTTAACGGAAACGGTAAAATGAATGGATGGATATGCCACACAACGATTGGTGTTGTAACGATAGACTAGAAGCAAAGTGGCTAATTAGAATAAAAATGAACTTCACACTATTCTTAAAAGTCCTACAATACAAAGTCTCTACAAATATTAAGACAGCGAAATTTGAGCAAGTTAAGCCCTACAACCCCAAGAGGCATAACCGACTAGCTGACACATTGGAAGCTTTAAAGCTTTTCGACGACGTGTGCCTACATTTCGAGGGGGACGGCACAATGTGTTCTACGTTTTCAAACCTCATTACAGTTTATATCAGGTCTGAACCATAACATCACCCGAAACACCGTCTTTAGAATTCTTGATGTAGCTCACACGGAATATAAGGTGTTCCAATTCTGGCTCACTAAGTATCTAAATGCAAATATTGACTTAATTCGGGAAACACCTTGTCAAAATCCGTAGGCAGTGCTTTGCGGCTACCCTATTATTATAAAGTATGTATCTCGAGTTAGGTTATAGACTGACTCTCAGTATGCTACTAGAAACAACGTCCTCCAAGATATTTGCGCAGAAATTACTATGTGCTAGTTGTCTGTTACATCCTTCACAAAGCGAAGTCTGTATTGCAAGTACATTCTCGGTCGTACTCTCGATTTTAGTGTCCTACTTCATATACGCGCAACACATTTCTTGAATTCACTAACCTGGAACGTAACCTAACACGTAATTAAGCAGAAAATTCATCATGAGATAGTCAAATAAATCCAAGAAACTCGAAATCTCAAAGTCCATACAAAAGGTTGAAAAGTATTGGAAATTGGATGCTTAATTTTGTTTAGTCAAGCCATCGCACGTCTGACATCGAACATTAGTTGTGGAGTGCGCTTACTATTGTAGTAGTTCTTGTCGGCATGTCAGATAGGTGAGGTTGTCTGTTAGTTTACAGGCTTTCAGATGTCTCTTGTGAGTGTGTTAGTCGACTTAGGGATTCCGACAGTATGGTGTTTGCTTGGAGTTGTCAGCCAATTGTTGTCCAACAGGAAAAAGTGTATCGTGCAGTTGCGACAGTCACAGTAATTAGGAGAACGATTTGTTAGCCTTCGAGTAGCATAGGTTAGAATACCAAGAACTGGTTCACACTGCGAACCAGCAAAGGGATCGTTAGCTGTGACTAGTGTGCAGTGGTTAGTTGTGTCTCGTGTACACTGAGTTGCTACGGTAATTTCCTGAGCGCCGTCTAAGAGATGAATGGATTTCTTCAATGGTGCAACCTCCTGGTTGGCATTCTGCTGCTTCATGTAACTGTCAAACTTTGTCCGGAGTGGTATCATGGGTTGTAGATATTGGAGGTATTTCTCGTCAGTATGCCGTTATGTCGGACGACAACTGATGGAACAGCTAATTCATCGACATATACTCACAGGTCATATTCAATGCTGAGTGAATAAAATTGCATACTACAATTTTTATGACGGTCATTTAAGCACTACTGAATTACTTGGTTGTGTTTTGTAGAGGGCTTCATGGACATCCGCGTGGACGTGGAGGACCTGGTGGTCGGGGAGACCGTAATGGGTCAGACAGGCCCTCTGGAAATGGGTGAGTGTGGATTGATTTATATTGTTTCTCGCTATTAACATTATCCGTATAACTGCGTAGAAGTATTTTAGCGCATAGCTAACCAATGTCTTCCTAGTATGGTTTCAATTCCAGCTTGGAAGCAGTGTAACTAAGATATCCCAAAGACTGAACGGCTTTACCGCAGAGTGGTGACTCGGAAATTCATCTGAACTTTGGTGCATCAAGCTTGTTTGACCGAAATTGAGCTGTCTAAACACACTGAGTAGTCGGGGTCCACTTGTGATGTGTTTTGGTGCTGGTCGTGCACGTTAACTACAGCTTGACAGGAGTTCCTGTTTGGAATCTGTTTGGAACGAAGACTGATGAGATGTGGCTAACATGAAGGATGAAGAGTGAGTGTGTTGTCTGTATGACTATGGTAGGTGTGGTTCCTACTATCCCAAGAACCATGGTAAGGCATACATACTCTGCGGTCTAGACCACCAGTTATTACATTGCACTTCGCTTCAATTTAACTAGTCTGAATTGCAGTGGAATAATGATTGTATTACCTCTACCAGACAAAACAGCAAGTAAATATGTCCGCCATTGATTGATTCATTTTGCTGGTTTGTTCGATTCTCTTAATCCCCATTCCCACGCAATGACTGTCGTTGGTGAGTTGTAGTTCAAAATTGTCAGCCGCAATTCCACACATGAGATGAGAGTAGGTGAAACTATGAGACACCTGATTATTGTCAATTCGACCTCTGATTTCACATTGCGAAGTGTAGAAGTCATGAATTTTGTCCTGTGCATTTAGCTACGATGGTTGGCAGTTGTTTCATGAATGAGGAGTTGGCGAGAAGTAGTTTGTGTCTGTTGTGTTCGGATACGTATTATGTAGTCCGCTGTTATCTTCCATAACATTGTCAGATTGGTTTTTCAGTCAGCCTCCACAAATGAGAGAGTAGCACTGTTCGTATTCGTGGACTGCATAACTACTAAGATGTTGTTCTTCACCCTTCAGGTCACGCGTCAACATTTCAGGACCGTTGAAGAAGCCTGCTGAAAGAGGTCATTCAGCGTAAGTTTATGACTGCTGACAATAACTCGTAATAGTTCGTCTGGTTCTGTATGGAGTTTCAATGCACCTTGCGAACGGGGTGATATTCCGTCGTCTTCGGAGGGCGAATTTGCCTCGGAAGCTGCCCGCCAGAGAAAGAGCCATCCAATCCAGAAATCTGTGTGAGTACTTTCCCTGTTGTTCCTTCAGATAACACAACATGTTTTGCCTTGATGCCTAACTAGCTTTCGTCTCTTTGTTTCAGGTATGACATATCTACGGGAATTTCGAAGTAAGTTGATGTTAAATAAACTCTGACAGTATTTGTCTTCATTGCTTCCTTCGTTAACGCTCCTGAATTGACTTATTTTTCAGACTAAACATGCAGAAGACACTTAGAATGCCGAATAGACCAGACCAAGGAGGTACAATTGGCAAGAAAGTCAAAGTCACTTCAAACTGTTGGGATTTAACTTTTCATCACAAAACGGTATATCTTTATTTTGTGGAAGCAAACTCAGTTCACCGATTGGAAGCTAAGGAGGGCAGTAAAACTGAGATAAGAATGCCACCAAAAGAGTTGAGATCTTTAATTCAGCAGGTAGCAGACTCGTAAGTACCATTGTGTTATTGATCAGATGGATTGTTTACATATGTAATGGAACTCTGTTCCTCAATTATTAAGCTGAATTGTTTCTCTGACTTTTGGTCAAGTATTGCTTGCGTGTCAACCGAAGATAGGTACACGTGTGGGATAACTTGTTCCATGTCCCACACAATTCATCACATGACTTTGGTTTCTATCAGTGTTGTTTAGGAAGAATTGGTGAATTTGTTGGTTATGGCTTCTATTGACAGCAATGGTATCTATTCATAAACCTCATGCTAAACAATTGTGCTTATTTCACTTGCTTCTGCAGTTTACCAGATACGATTATATATGATGGCGGTCATGCCATATACTCTGAAGATCCGTTACCTGGTGTCACAACGGACCCCGTCGAAAGAGAGATTGAAATCAAAGAGCCGTTTGGTCGGGACCGCCTCCTTCTCAAGTACCGGATTATGGAAGTGCAGAAGGTGTCTACTTCTGATATCAGTCATTTCATAACGAGTCCGAAAGCGACCTCAATGAATATGCCTCAAGTAAGTCTGGATATGTTTCAGATTTGTCTCTAGGAATGTATCAGATTGTTAGATTGCATCTTGAAGACGGTGTCAAAGCAGTCGTTTGTATCCCTTGGACGCGCAGCCCTATTTCAGGGGACACCAATAAAAGTGGTTGCAGATAAGCTCTTCGCTATTCATAAGGGTTTCATTAGTAGTGTGAGGCCCCAGTGGAAAGTTCGTGTGAACTTGGACATGGTAAGTAGTGGTACACCTTTTTCTTTACATAATCACAGACGTGCAAGGCCTACTTTGTATCCGGGAATCTAGCGGACGTCATGTACTCGAAGTACGGAGACAACATGGCTAGATGTAGCACTCAAATGGCATACGACTTGAGAAAGATACGAGTTGAGACTGATAAATTCTACAGGAGCGATGATGGTATGCATGCTTTCTGTTATACCTCATACATTTTAGGACGTGCATATTCCCGACGCTTCACCGTGCACGGGATATCCTCACAACCAGCCGATCGTTTGATGATTGAGGAGTTGAAGCAGTCCGTGGCTGAATACTTCAAGGAGCACCATCATATTACTCTGAAGTATCCAGAGCTGCCGTGTGTCAAGGTAAATTTTCATTTCAGTGATTATTTTGTAGGTTGATCAAAAGCGTGAAGTGTATGTGCCGATGGAACTGTTAAACATTTTGCCATATCAAGCTCCTAATGTGAGTAAAGCCGATGTTGCGAGTGAAGTTATCCGTTGTGCAGCAATTCGACCACAGGAGCGCTTTAGAGAGCTGGAAAATTTTGCTAATAATATGCTGAAGTAAGAGTTTTATTTATGAGTTGATACTGCCGGTCAGTACTAATGTGTAATGTTGCTTATTGATGCAAAAGTTGAGGGGAAGCATGTTGAGAAAGACGAGTTTCCGATGATTGATTTCTTCGGCATTCCATGAAGCTTATAGCTCGACACTCACTGTTGTAGCGCATTCAAAGGATGGTGAGAAAGTAGAATAAGTAGAAGGTTACAATGCAAACCTTGGATACTTTTAGGGATTTCCGAAATATCACACTTAGCTTCTATAGAATCATTGGTGATGTCAATGGAAGAGTCCTCCAGAATGGACGGAGAAGTGCTCAAGATAATGCTACTTCAAGTTGTAGTCGATAAGCTATGGATCGGTAGGCCCTTCCAAGTACAAGCCAACTCAGTCTTCCCATGACTGGAAATTCTAGTCTTCATTATATTCCTGTATGGAGACAAGTTGAAGGTGAGAACGGAAGCATACTACTAGACGAATGATAAGTTATAATTGTATTTCAATGGTTGTTTACGCAGTGATAAGCTTTTGATTTCTAGCGAAATTGCCACCAGCTATTAGGATTGAAATACAATTACACTTAATTGATTTATTCCACAATGCGTAAACTTCTCACAGATATTATTAGATGAGCGCTTTGCGAACGTCTTGATGACAGAAATCTGATATTCGTAGTGTCAGCCGTAATTTTGAAGTTTGAATAAACGTGAGGTAAATACCGCAGTCCTTCTGGATAAGTGCCGGGGATACTTGGTGTAACGCCTACCTACAGAGTTAATTGTTTGTTTTCCAGGTATGCAAGCAGATACGACATACACTGTCTTATACATAGATTTGACAAGGACGCAGAATGTGGCGGTGTCTAGTTGGTTATAATGGGTCACGAGTTATATAATTGCACAGACCTGCGACGAGTCGAGCACGACAAAATTAGAGTAGTGTTTGTTGACCGTGTGACAGTGTAGAGGACTTCATTGTTTGCAAGTCTGGAGTCAGATTTTATGATTTACTCGATTCATTGTTTTGTAATTATGAGGGTTTCTTTACATGCTATTTGTTCCATTTCCTCCAAGGTCCCACCCACTGATTAAACAATTTGGTCTGACGATTCAGCCGAGGCCAGTGGAAGTTAACGCACGTGTTATCCAACCGCCAACTGCTGGTTTTGGTCGTTCTGGTGTGCAACAGCTGACGGCAGGTAAATGGAGCACGCCTGGCTTTCTTCACCCTGCCGGCGGAGGAGTAGAATTAATGTGGGCTGTACTTAGCATTCCGCCTGATCAGGTATGTTTTCTACTCTGGTTCAACATAAGATTAGTGCTGTAACGAGGATGAGTTGTGCAATCACTTGGGCACTAAAATGACTTGGTCATTTGTCGATTGTGTCAACATGGAAGGGTACCTCGCCTAGTTTCATGAAAGCCCATTTACTTCATTGTTCACTGCAATACGTCGGTGGCAATATCAATATCTTTTATTTGCCAGTGTTTAATGCTCTGTATACGAAGCTGAGGTTTTGTCTGCCCTTTAATGCAGTGAATGAAATGTTGTCAGATGAGTAGAGTAGCCTGAGAAGTGTCCACTTAATTCTGAATTGTTGTCGAAAGGCATATGTTATCGTTGAAAACAGTTAGTCGCTGTTTAAATTTGGATAGTGTTTTTAGAAGACGGAGATTATCTGAAAAGTGTGTATTTGCGCAATACATTTGGAAGAACCTTTCATGTTATTACTATTGTCAAATGTAAACGCGAGAACTGACTGCTTCCTCCCCTTGCCATGTTTTCTTCCTAGCGGTCTCATGGTCATGTACAGAAGGTGATATCAGAATTGCCTAGAGCGGCCAGTCGCTTTGGTGTTCGGTTTAGCCCTCGACCGATTGTGGCGCAGTGTCCGAGAGGAGAACTTCACAGGAGGTTCGAGGAGTTTTCCAGACAAGGATGTCGCTTCTTGCTTCTCATCCTGTACGATGAA